CTATTACACCCAAACTGTCGTGTCTGCGTGTCGCCAAAAGTTACTTGGCTCACAGTTCGCGATCCTCCTCGTAGCACTGGTACTTCGGCTCCCTTTCTCTCGTGGGCGTACCATCCTCCATGTCCTCCCTCCCGTGTTTTTTCTCGCTCATCTGCTTCGCCTCTGTCTTGACCTCCTGCTTCACCGACGTCTTCCCAATGCTGTCGGCTTGCGAGGGCTGTTCCGCCATCGCGTACTGCATGGCTGCTGCCGCGGCTGCTGCGTCGGTCGCGGCCGCCAACGCTGGTGGGTACAGTTGTGAGGCAGGCGACGCTGGCGATGGCTGCGCATTCGACACGCCGTTGGCCTGCGACAGGTCGATCGCTGCTGGCTGGATATGCTGAAAGAGGTGCGTGGGCCCAGGGATGTTCTCGTTGCGAGATGCCAGCATCTGGGTTGGCTCTAGGAGGCTCTGCGAGATTGGCAACACTTTCTCCTCCTCTTCCTTCACATGGCGTCGGCGAGCACATGGCCTTCGGGGTGGTTGGTACTGGCACCGTTGACGGCGAGCCGAACCCTGCACGGGCTGGCGGGGTGGCCGGCAGCACTGGCTGCGGCGGCGGCGGCGGAGGGTTTGTTGCCTTTGGCTGGGGGGTTGCCTGCGCTTGCTGGGGCGCTGGCGGCGGGGGCTGCGGTGGCAACGCCCATGCCGCTGCGCTCTGCGCCGCCCCAGCTGTGGGCGCCGTACTGCGCTGCTGGTCCGCCTCTGCCAAGCGCTGCGTAGCCTCTTTGGCCATCGTCTGCACTGTCGACGACTGGCCAGGCTGTGGAACCCCAATCTGATGGATCTGCTGGACGCCTGCTGGAGCTGCTGATCCTGCTGGCCCTCCCGCCCGGAATTCTAACAGCTTTGAAATGACTTGGGCGTGGAAGATGTGGGCACTTTGAATATGATCGACCTTCGCTTCTGCTGCGACCTGTCTGTCTAAAATGTATCGTAGCGAAGAAGCAATATCTCATGTATTTCGTGAATTCCGCATCACGTGCAGTGTGCAGTGCTGTTTGAGGATCAACTTGCTGTATTGCAGGAAGGGTGATTGGCTGCGGTGGTGGCGGTGGTATGACCCTGGTCGCGGGCTGCGACTTGGCCTCGCCGATCCCCTGGCCGTTGGCTCGGCGACTGTTGGTGCGGTCGGGCTCTTCCATGATCCAGTCGTCGGGTTCCTCATTTTCGAGCTGCTCAATTGACTCGACATACTTCTCGATGCTGCGTTTGAGTGACCTTTCCTCCTCCATTCCTTGATCCAGCTTGCGCTGCACAGTGCGTAGTCGATCCTTCGCGGCGGTCAGCTTGCTACGCAGCTCGTTGCCCAGTTTCTCTGATCCCCTGCTGGCCGCCACCATGTATTTGAGCACCCCCAGCTCAACTGCCATGTCGTTGTCAGCCCTGTCCGCCTGCACGCCTGCGTAGTACAGGTGTCCCAGCCGCTGTAGTTTGGCCTGGACCTCCTTTTGGTATTTGACTGCTTCGTCTAGGTCCTCGGGCGGCTTACTCCATACGTCTGGGGTGGTGATGGAAATATTGCGAATCATATCACTCATTTTGCCCGTGCGCTTCCTAGATTGGCTGGATTCTCTCTCTGGGCGTTTGCGAGACTGGCTGGCATCTCTCTTTGAGGGGGGTCGAGCTGCCCACTTTGTCCCACATACACAGTGCCATACGGAATTCTTGTGGCTGCGATTACATTGCCTGCAGGTCCACATGTCGAACTGTCTCGGGATGGCGTGATGAGAATCCAACAATGCTTTCGACTGCAGCGCACGTAGCAAGAGTCGAGAGAAAGTCCTCCTGGCCCTTTGTCTGCGGTGCCAGGCTGGTTATGATACTCTATCCGTGATGTAACAAGCTATGTGAAAAGAAACGAATGTGGCGGCTGTCCACCCGAGGACAGCAGCGTAAAGGGTCGGCACGGTAACAGCTGTGTGACCACCTGAGGTCGTGGACCGCCTTGAGTCATAATGGCTACAGACCCTCCTCCTCCTCCTCCTCCTCCTCCTCCTCCTCCTCCTCCTCCTCCTCCTCCTCCTCCTCCTCCTCCTCCTCCCCCTCCTCCTCCTCCTCCTCTCAGGGGCGACGTTAGGGGGGGCCTGTCGCCGAACTGTCGGCGATGTAGCGCTGGTTCCAGCTCGATACTTCCCCCCTAAGACGGTCCCCATCTAACGCTGCCCCTCGGGGGGGAGCGCGGACAGGCATCCGAACGGGGGGAGGGGGGGGGGCAGGCATCCCAAGGATTGGAATTTTCAATCTGGGGCGAAGAATTGTCGGTGTTCCATCTGTGCGTTTCTTCTGCTATATTTCAGCGTGGGGGGGCGGCTTTCGGGCCCAGGGCCATCGAAAACGGATCCAGGACAAAGGACTCCAGTTGGGGAAGCGGTCGGGAGGCCTGTGGCCGCGGATCGAAAAATAACATGATACCGGAAAAAAAAAACAATCGGAGTCTTTCTTGATTTTACATAAGATCCCTTTGTAATTGGTCCTTGGGTTTATGAAGTCTGCGAGGGCTATGAAGGCCATGAGGGCTATGGGGCTGTAGGGCTATAGGGATGTAGGGCTCTAGGGCTGTAGGGCTATAGGGCTACAGGGCTATAGAGCACACGGGCACCCAGGCACCCCCGGGCACCCCGGGGCACCCCCGGGCACCTCCGGGCATCCCTGGGCACCTCCGGGCACCCTGGGCACCCTGGGCACCCGGGCACCCGGGCACCCCCAGACACCCGGGCTTTCGGGCACCGGGGCACCCGGGCCAGCCACCGAAATCGGCGACGCACCTAACCTAACCATATGAATCCGCTAAGACCCCAACAGAGGCAAGCGCTGATTGGGGAACATCTTCAGATGTTTGGGGGCGGGTCTGGACATCCAACGTCTCGAACGAGTAAAGACGGAGGTGCTTCGTCGTCTTCGTCCTCCAGGGGCCCTCGCCAGGCCCGATGACGTCAAACTCAACTCGGGAGGAAGAGCCAGCCCTGGGGAAGAGGCCGGGACTTCGGAGGCCCTGTCTGAAGGCATTCAAGGCATCGGATGTCTTGGGGGCGGCGGGTCCTTGAGGTTTGAGCTTAGATCTCGAGGTTGGGACTTCGAGGCCTGGGCCCTTTTTGTTGTCTCCTGGAGGCTCCTCGCCGCCACGGTTGGATTCCCTTCGAAATTCTGGCTTAAGTTCACTGAAGGAGCTTTCCAGCGTTCGAATTCGCAATCGCCAGTCGCGATTCGAGGAACTGGATTCGAGGTTAGTTTTGGACGCGTTTCGGCACATTATGGGGCCTCTTGGAAGCTCCTCGTCGCCACGGCCACATTCCCTTCGGAACCCGTTCCAGAACGTATCCCTGGACAGGTTTGGGATTCGAATATTTGAACCCTTGGACCCAGGCCCCTTTGCGTCGTAGAACAATCGCGGCCAGAGGTGCGTGATACGTATACTTGTTTGGGGTAGACATCATCCGAGGGCCTAGGTGGGGAAGGGAAAAACATTAGTATACACACTATCGAAACATAAATATGCATGCATGAGTGCATATATATATAATAAATATATACAGGGACCGTGACCCCCCGTCTTGTATTCTGGCCAGGATCGGGCTCAATGGAGCCCCGACGCTCGAGGCCGTGGAGGCCATTGTCATGGCGTTCCACATGTACAACACTGCACGTGTCCCGCATCCGCCGTCGTTCCAGCAAGAGGAGTGGGCTGGTCATCTATACGAAATTCGACGAGCAGCAGTGGCTCTCGTGGAGTTAACTAGAGTGCCCGCGTAGGCCTCGGAAGGACACTAGTGGCGCCCCTCATGTACGAGCGATATATATATACACACACGTACCTAAAGACATACATATGCAATACGCATGTTTGTATGTATGCATGGATGGAGGTATGTATATGTGTATGTGTATGTATGTTTGTATGTCTGTCTGTCTGTATGTATGCATGTACGGGGGATGGAGGACCTGTTGACGTGATCTCGCCTCGCCTGCGGTTTTGTGCCAGAGGCTGCGTGCCTTCAGGGGTTGCACCGACTCCCTCTCGGCTCGGCAGGCGGGCGTGCGCCGAGCCTCTGGAGGCTGAAAGCGGCCCTCTTTGCGCAGAGGTTCATCGACTTATCGTGAATGTCACGTGCCATTGAAGGCGGTTTCGGCCGCCCCTGACCTCACTGCGTCTTCCATCGAGTCTCGTTACCCGCCCCCACCTCCTCCGCACAGCGGAGGCAGGAGGTCCGATCGACGTGGAGACGGCGCCCGCACTGCCCCTCAGAGTGCGAGGGTGAACAAAACAGTGTGGCATCGAGCTTTCTGAACGGGCAGCAGAGTGAGCACGAGAATGATAAGTAAGGATGAGAGGGAATGGGAATAGAGCAACAAGTGCGATGACGAATGCGACGGCCAGCCGTTTTTTTGTTACTTCGTGGGTTGCATCTCCTGTCCGACGTCAGTCAGTGAATACCGCTTACAGTGCCATGTGGTTCTGTTAAACAGAAGGGACGAGTTGAAGGACACTGATGTTCACACCTTCGACACCACCTGAGTGGCAAGGCATACATACGCGAACCGCGTGCCGAGTCGAGGAGAGCTCGCCCTGAGATAACGGTCCTCACCTAACCGAGTGTGTGTGTGTGTGCTGTGTGTGCTTGTGTCTGCGTTTGTGCGTGAGTGTGTGTGTGTGTATTTATGTGTGACTGCGTGTGAGTGTGTGTGATTGTGTGTGGGTTTGCGTGATCGTGTGATTGTGTGCGATTGTGTGTGATTGTGTGATTGTGTTTGCGTGCGTGCGTTTGTGTGCGTTGGCGGATGGAAGAGGGTGTGTCCGATGGTGTATGCACGTGTGCGTTCACGTACATGTTCTCTTCTTGTGGGCGCGCGACGTTGATTCGGTTCGGGGAGGATGCACAATCCTGTCCTCCAGACCGGCATGCGAGGGCCAGATGGTAGGGGAGAGGAGACCGAGCGCAGCCCGAAGGAGGGACGGCAGGGATTTGTCCAGTTCACCGGGCCCGTGGCATATTTAATGGGCACTGGCGGGATGGGTGTTTGCAAGGCATTCGCAGGTTGACCCATGCATATTTCACTTTCTCGTTGCCATCGTGGCCCGTTTGTATCCTCGCTCATTCTTTGTTTAGAACTCGCACATTGGAATTCCACGTTGTTGTCATCGGAAGGGCTTACACTGATAGTTGAACGCATCCTCTCATACGCGACACCTCGTGGTCGGGCACTGTCGACGGATGTGCGTTTGTTTTGGTACAGAAGCGGATAAAAGAGTCGAGATGCGAAGCGACGAAAGGGCGACATTCACAAAGATCATAGGCAAATCCGAGGTCACGCGTTCTCGACAATGAAACAGGCTTCGGAGGAGCATATGCTAATCCGGTGTACGAAATTGACACTACCATACGCCCCATACGTGCAGTTTAGGATGCTCGCTGTGTGGTGCCGTTGGTGGACGCTGCTTTGAACGAGTGGCTGGCCTATTACCAGTTCTGCGTACCAGCGCAGAGCTCGAACAGCATTGATCCGAAAAGGTTGCGGCAGTTGCCGACCTGCGCCTGGTGCAAGGCAGACCATATTGGTTCCCATTGTGACCTTTCATTACCACCAGTGTACCCTTCCGTATCCCCTGCTACGCCCGCTCGTCGTTTGTTGTGCTGTCACGTCCTCCATACCGGGCCGCTCGCGAAAACCTGTGAGAGGTCCGGGAAGCCCCGCCAAACAAAGTTGCACAGGGCCGAAAGCAGGGAAGGCGGAGAAGGAGCACGAGGAGGAGGAGGAGGAGGAGGAGCGTTAGCAGCAGCAGTAGCAGCAGCAGGAGGCATGCGCGTGCTCGCGCGTGCCCAAAAATACGTTGACACAGCAAGAAGCAGAAGCAGAGGCGGCAATCGCAAGAGATGCACCGCGCGCTCTCGAAGCTCAAGAGCTCCAGGTAGCCCCAGGCCGACCACAGGGCCCAGTGTATCTCGGCAGCCAGGCCAGCGAATAGAGGATCCGAACGACATTAATGTTGTTCTGTGATGTCTGCGTTGCAGTGAGGTGGTTGGGGAAAAGGTCAAGCAAGTGTTTCGAGTCAGCCGGGGATCTTAGCATGCACTCGAGCGTTTCCAGCGAGTCGCTATTGGAGGTTCAGTTTCGGAGCCCATGTGTTATCTGTGATTCGCACCCACGGGCGCCTATATTCGCCAGTGCCCAGCAAGTGGATATTGACCGTGGCTGTGCCTTTGACAGTGCGATTTGCAGACCGCCCGTTGCTTCCCCGTCGTGTCTCAGCCTCCCCGCTCGGCCTGCCAACAAACCGATCGACATGCAAAGTGATGTGCCGAAAGGTGCGTTCGAAATGTAGTGCCGCGAGGCGTCCGCCACTCTGCTGTCGTTGCCTCAGGCACTGTGCTGTGTCCATTACTCTTGTCTACTTGGCGGGCAGCGACAGAGTGGGAGTGAGGGAGGCCCCGCGGAGTTCAAAAGCACGACGCCGAAGTGGACTCGCTGGGTTACGGAGAGGCCTCCAGGGTGGCCAGGGCAGAAAGTTCATTATGCCCGTACCCATTCCGACAAGCACGAAGACGAGACGAATGTCACATCCCTCCTCCTTCCCCCCTCTCTCTCCGCTCAATCCCCCTCTTCCTGTTTCTCCGTTCCATCCTCGCCTTCCTCTCCCTTTCTCTTAAACGTTTTCCACCTGATCCCCGCCCTCGTTTCCCTCTCACGTCTCTTTATCAGCATCCTCGGTCCTCAGGGGTCTTCCGAGAATGTGTGAAAACCTCCCGGCATCTCGAATTTCGGGAAGGGGGAGGAGGAGGAATGATCCAGTGTCGAGCGGGAGCACCGGGACAAGGAGGAGGTGAAGGAAGGATCGAGGATCGAGGAAAAAAGTTGGAGAAGCGTAAAAAAGTTGGAGAAGCGTGAGAAGGAGGAATCGAAGATCGATGGTTTTCCTGCCACCACCCTCCGCCTCTCATCTATCTCCCTCCTGCCCCGTTCCCCAGGGGACCTCCCCCGCTTTTTATTTTCCCAATGGACTGAGGTGTTTCCCGGCGGATTGGGTTCTTTTCGGGCGGAGCGCCAGGAAACAATCCAGTCTGGTGCGCATTTGTAGAGAATGTGCGCACGTGGATTCTGCAACCTTCCAAGGTCGGCTTACGACCTCGCATATGATACTCACAAAACAAACCACCAGGAAAACCCGACGGCGGACCGTTTACGTATGTACACATACTCGTGGTTGGAAGTATTCGGAGATGTACGCGTTTGTGTACACTGTTGCATTTTTGTTGGCCAGCGTGGACCCAAACCGCGTGTGCCTAGCAGTTGTTGTTGTGCAACAGACGTTGGGCAATCTTTGTGGATCAACCAATTTGGGACAATGTACGTGGTGCAATATATGCTGCGCAATCTATATTGCGCAACAGTTGCGGAGCAATATATGTTGTGTTGTTTACGTGATGACATGTACGTGATGCAATATATGCTGTTCAATCTCTGGTGTGCAGTATGCGCGCTGCAATCTAGGTGGCGCCGTGTATGTGGTGTGCCATAGATGTGGTGCAGGCGACGTGATGCAAAATGTGTGGTACAACCTGACCGGTACAATGAATTTATGCGGTGCAATCTATGTTGTGGAATTTCTGTTGTGCGAGATGTGTGGTGCAATATACGTGGCGCCAGCAATGTGGTGCGCAATAATTGCCGTGCAGTCGACGTGGTTCTATATACGTTGTGCAACCTACGTGGTGCAATTTATGTGGTGCAATCTACCTGGTGCAATCGACGTGCTGCAACCTGTGTGATGCAATCATATGTTTTGCAGTCTGCGTGGTGCAATACATATATTCATATATATATACACACACGAGGGCATCGAGGTCTCGTCCGAGGAGCGCGATCAGCTCAACATGAGGAAGCAGGAGGTGGAGCACACCATCAAGAAGGTGGTGGTCGACGCTTCTGGTTCCGCCAGCGGATGGCCGCCAAGAAGTGACGAGTTGATGATGCTGATCAGACAGTCGAAGGAGCCCCAGCGTCGCCGGGGGAGCCCAAGGCCGAAGGCGCAGCGGCGGCCTCTGGCGGAGGTGCCCCACCACCGCCTCCGCAGGCGCATTCGCAGCAGACGGTGGCAGAGGCAGTATTGACGGCGACCTCTGGCGCCATGGACGCGCCAGTCGACGTTGACCAGCAAGCCACCTTGGCCAAGCAGTTCCAGCGTGCATCGAGTATTGCCCATGCTGGAGAGCCGTCCTTTAAGCCTGTGAGCTACACCAAGTTCGTGTTCCAGCTGGACTGGGTGTTCGGCGGTTTCCGCTTGGTCGCTAGATTCACTTGTTCTGAGACCGCTGAGGTACCCTTCGGGTGAGTCGGCGGGAGGAGGGCTGGCAGGGAGCGCCACATGCTCGGGGAATGGCATGCCTGCCGACACTTCGGCTGCGAGTGGATCCATGTCCTTTTCGACCGGTGCTTCGTCGACGACAGCGAGGGTTCCAGCGCGCGTTCCCCGACGCCACCATTTGCCCGATGCGGATTCGACAAACATGTCGTCCGGACCCACTTCAGCTGCGCTCGCTCCAGAGGCCCGCCACGGCATTAAGATGTCGCATGCTGGACCGATACAATCGGATTGCTCATCCACTTTGCTGGTCCAGCCTCCTTCGGGTCTCCGCGATGCTGTCGCTGGGGGCGACAATGGACCTGGAGTGGCCCAACAGCCTCATCAAGGTGGCGACGATGATTCAGATCTCCCCGCCTAGCCGACCAGGCGATGCATGTCGACTGATAATTGTAACTCTACCTCCTGGAAGTCGCTCGAGACCTACCTGGGGCCAGAGGTTTCGTCGCTGCAGGACTGCGCTTTCGGCGATGACCATCGCAAGGGTTCGCATCAGCTACGCCAACTAGGATGGAACGCGATAACCCACCCTAGCAGGACTACCAACAAGGAGGGATTGAGTTGTGGAACGGGGATAGCAGTCTGAAGCCACATTGGGACGGGATCTCTGCCGTTTGTCCGCCCGTTGCCCCGCCAGCATCGAGTTCGCGGTGCCTGGCTTGATATGTTCGTTCCAGGAGGGATTGCAGTCTTCTCGCTCCACCTGTATTGCGACGACCCCATGGACCCCGACAGGTACCAAATCTTCCATTGGCTCGGCGAGGCCTCCATGGTTGGCATTTGCCCTTCGCGATAGGCGGGGACTTTCAAACGTCGCCGAAGTCCCGACACGGGGCGGGTGGACAAGATGGGGGGCGCCATCTTCCACGACGCTGAGCCGACGCGTCGGAAAACCAAAGCGTCTTGGACGACCATCGACGAGTTCATCATATCCAAATCGATCGGGCCCGCTCTCGACGCCGTCTGTCACAACGCGAAGGGGGCGACCTCCCCGCAGTGACCCGCCACCTCGGACCTCCTGGGGCGCCCCAAGGGAGCTCGAGACCAGGGCACCGGTGGGCCCTCAGGCGTTTCCTCGAGATGTTTCGACCAGGCAGCTTTGGACAGGAGCTACGCCACGCACTGCAGGCCCCTCGAGGATGAGCGGATAGGCATCCACGGCAAAGGCGAGAGCAAGGCGCTTAAGCATCGATGTCGGGCCAAGGGAAGGAAGACCAAAGTGCGCACATCTGCCCCCGCCACTGGCGGCGCTCATCCCATTTCCTCGACCCGCGGCCGACCGAACGCGGAGGAAATGGCCCATGCGCGCCCAGGAACTTCGCTACGCGGTTCGAAAACGATTGCCGTTGGATCAACCCGATGCTAGATCTGCTTTTCTTCACGCGCCGCATGGGCCAGCTGCGCTCCGCGCTGATCCTGATTGGCAGCAGGCAGCGGAGTCCGGGGATGATTTGGCCGCCCTCGACTTCCGCGGCCCCGCGCAGCTGCGCGCCGACCTCACGGGGGAACGCAGAGCGTCTCGAGGGGCATTTTTAGTCAGATCGCGGCAAGGCCGGGCGCTCCCAGGCCAAGGAGAGTTTGGATAACGGGGCCGGCTTGGCCACGCGTTCACTGAGGCCTCCCTGGGCCCCCCCGAACCCAAAAGAAGGGCCCACCGAGGGGCCCATGGGTCGGGTCGACGACCTCACGTCGGAGTGGACCGACATCTGGACCCCCAAGGGCAAATCCCAGGACCCCCTTGAACCCATCAGTCTGCTCACCATGGAACCCATTGGGGAGCCATTGGCGTCGGCCACGCCTGGCCAGATCCAAGAGCGCACTAGCAGGTTCAAGGTTGGGGCGGTGATTGGCGCCGACAGGGCCCACCCCGCGGACTTCGGGATCCTCGGCGGCGCTGCTCTGGAATGCGTCGCTGCCCTCTGGTTCTGGATGGAGTATTATGGGATGTCATATGAAGTTCTTGCCGCCATCATCCTTGCCATGATACCGATGGACGAAGAAGGAGGAGCTCGACCTGTCAAAGTTCTGATCAGGAACGTTCGCTGCCATGGGAAGCACTCCTGCGCCCAGGCTGACCGATGGCAAACAAGACCCACGACAGGGCCTACCACTTGGGAAGCAAATGGCCGCCATGCGAGAGAGCTGTCTGGGAGAAGGCAATCAGGATGGAGCACTCGTTCATCTGCGGCCACGGCGCCGCTTCCGCCCTGGTCGACGCGGCCTTTTGCCATGAGAAGACGGTCAACTATTGAGTGGCACTTGCAGCCATCAAGCTGCACAGCTCGCGCTGCTGCCCACGCTCGCGCAGGGGCCAGAGGGCCGCGCGCGCCCAGAGCTCGTCGCTTGCTTGCAGGCGGTCCTTGCAGGCTGCACCTCTGCCACCACGCTGTTCAAGCGCCTCCCCCCCCTGGATCCCCTAGACCAGGCGGCGTCGAAGGTCCCCTCGGCGCGCCTCTACAACGTTGCCGACGACATTACGAGCGGAGCGACGGGCAAGGCGAGGACGGCACGCGAGGACGACGGCCGATGCGACGCACTTGCTATACGACAGGCTCGAGCAGCTCGGCTTCCTGATCTTTATCATCAAAGGATTGATCACGGCGACGTCTCGCGACATCGACGTTCGGATCAAAGCTCGATCAATGCGATGGAAACACCATGTCGTGAAAATCACCCAGAAATTCAGGGCGACCACACCGCCGGCCGAGGTCGCACCCCAGCCCAGGCGATGCAATGCGCGAGCTCGGGGCCCCAAGTCCGCCGGTTGAGAGGCTTGCGCGCAGGGGATTCTGGAATATGCGGGGTCGTCAGGACAGGCTGCTTCCCCGCTGCTTTCAATGGCGCATCGGCCATAGACACGAACATGTCTAGCCCGACGAAGTTGCGGGCGATCCCCGGCCAGGCAGGTTTCGGCAAGTCGCCACGGCCACGGCCGTTCCAGGACGCCCCAGTTCCTCACGAGCCACTCGGCGAACGTAGGCCCCGTCAATCAATCAAGCCCCCCCCCCCCCCCTCCGGAAAACACGCGGCATCAGGCGGCGAAGCAGAAGTGGGCCCCGGAGCAAATTATAAGATCGCGCGCGAAAGTTTACCCGACTCTAGTTTCCAGGTCTTGGCAACAAGTTCGAAGCGCTGCAGGCGCTGTCTGGGCCACCCTTGATCGCTTGGTATGGGCTTTCAGAGGATGGGGCACTTGGGGCACTTGCCGCGGGCCCCCCCTGGATTTCCACACGTTCGGCAAGCTTGTTTACTCCGCGCAGATGAGGCTTCTGGAGCACGCCGGGGCCCCCGATCCCGATGTCCCCCGCAGGTTGGCCCCTCTCCTCCCAGGGGCGGTCCCGGACGCGCTGTGGGGCTTCAGGAAAGCTGGAAGAAACGTGGTTGCCTCATTACTGTGTAATGTCGTCGCAGGAGATCATCCGATCCAGGAAGCGTTGTTCTTCCTCCGCCTCCTCCTCCTTGTCCTCCTCCTCCTCCTCCTCCTCCTCCTCCTCCTCCTCCTCCTCCCTCCTCCTCCTCCTCCTCCCCCCCCTCATCCTCCTCCTCCTCTTCCTCCCCCTCCCCCTCCTCACCCTCCTCCTCCTCCTCACCATCCTCCTCCTCCCCCCCCTCCTCCTTCTCCTTCTCCTCCTCTTCGTGAGTAAAGCGCCAACGACAGCTCTACGCCGTGGATGGCAAGATGAAGCGAAGCGCTTGCAAGAGGCCAAGGGAAGCCGAGGCCGCGGCGGCTGCCGCGCGCGCGGCTGGCGAGCAGTTCGACGGCGGGACCCTCGACCAGGACTGCACGGGCATAAGGGCGGCAGCAAGGCTCCAGCGCAAGGCGGGGCCCCAGCTCTTCATGCCCGACGACGCGATGGACGGCGAGGCGGCCCCGCTGCGCCATCGCGCTCAGCGGCTCGGCGCCCAGGCCACGATGAGCCACGGGTGCGACCGCTGTAGGGCGAGGGCCAAGACGCAAGAGGACCTGGAGAGCGGTCGCTGCAAGGCCCAGCCCGCCGCCGTGGAGGAGGCCCACGAGTCGCACGCGCTGATGGTCGCGGGCACGGTGGTTTTCTGCAACCAGGCGCAGAGGACGCCACCTGGAAAACGCAGTTCGGTATCAGGTCGGGACGCGGGACGGCAGATGCCATTTTTCTGGCGCGTCGCATTTGCGAGGACGCTCGGGCTACCAATGACGGAAAAGTAATGATGCTAGCGCTGGGTTGGGCAAAGGCGTTCGACTCTCTATCGCCGCAGGCGCTGGCGACGTCCTTGCGACGATTCGGCTGCCCGACCCACTTCGTCAAGATGATCGCCGCTATTTACGAAGGGCGCCAATTCATCTTTGCCGATTTTGGCACCGATTCCTCCGAGCACACGCAGCATTACGGCAAATGCCAAGGTTGCCCTCTTTCGCCGATTTTGTTTCTGATCGCGATGACGGTTCTTCTCGCTGGTGCACATCGCTTACTGGAAAATCGAATTCCGAATCTGCCGGGAGGAGCAGCGCGGGACCTCGTATACGCAGACGACACGCTGCTCGCGGACAGCGATCCTGCAATCATCGAGGAGATCATGCGCTGCATCGAGGAGTGCGGAAGGCAGTACGGCTTGGCATTCAATTGGCAATTGGAACAACGTGGAGCTGATGCGCGCGAGAGTCGATGCGAACATCATGAACCACGTGGGCATCCCCATTGAGTACAAAGACCACTTGATATACCTGGGCGCGTGTCTTTCTGCCGACAGTAGATGCGGATCAGAGCTCAGTCGACGAATATGGGGCCGCGAGCGGAGAATTTCATGTGCTGAATTCAATGTGGTCACATAGTTCCTTGAGCCGCAAACGTAAATTGCGCATGTTTGATGCATGTGTCGTCTCGAAGCTATTGTATTGTATGTGTTCGCATGTTGTCATAGCAAAGCTGAGCGAAAAAAGCTGGACGCATTCCAGGAAAGGAGCGTCCGCCGGATCTTCCGGGTACCTCATTCATACGTGAGTCGGATTTCAAATGCTACCGTTCTCAGCATGGCAGGTCGCGCGTCGTTCAGTGAAAGCGCGATGAAACGTCAGATGTTTTTCATGGGGCAGCTTGCCCGACGCCCAGATTCTGACCCAGTTCGAAGTTCAATTTTCGAATCAGGTAGTCTATCTCTTCGCCCCCCAAGCGGCCCTCGAAAACGAGGTCGACCGCGACAGTCTTAGCGGCAAATGGTAATGCGCAACTGTCTGCTGGCAGCTGGTTCTCCCGCGCTGCTAGTTGCATTCTTTCGCCGAGAGGGCGGAGCAGCTCGTGCGTGGGAGGCTACAGCGCGCTCGTGGCACAGCTGCTGAATCATGTTGGTTTCACTCTGCTCGCGCGCCGGCCGGCACAAGGCTTCGGATTTTGGGGCCCTCGGCCCGCTTGGGCCTTCTTGGGGTTCTCTTGGGCCGACTTGGGTCCATCTTACGTGCCGACTAAGCTGTCTTGGAGTCATCTTGGAAGCCTCTTGAGTTGTCCTGGGCGCTCTAAAGCACACAGTTGAAAACACCAAACCCATCCAAAATTTAAGGAACATCGATCAGATTTGCCTGCGCAGGCTTTCCTGGAGGGTCTCTTGAAGTCCTCTTCGATGCCTCCTGGAGTCTCTCGGGACATCGTGGGCCGTCTGAGGAAACTCGCTGCCCGTGCGACGCCCTCGGAGGCCGTATTGGGGGCCTCTCTAGGCCGTCTTGGAACGCTTTAGGGCAGTCTCAGGGCCCTCTTGGGAGCCTCTTGGGCGATATCGGGCTCCTCTTTGGCCGACTTGGAGCCCTCTCGGGGGCTTCCTGGGCTGTCTCGGAGCTATACTGAAGGGCTCTTGGGCCGTCATGGCGGTCGGAAACCCAAACAGGCGAGAACCTCAAAATCTTGTAAGTGCCCTACAGAAAATCAACGTTATGTGCCTGATGGGATTTGGGGGCCTCTTGGGAGCCTCCCGAGGCCGTCTTGGGGGCCTCTTGCGGCCTCTCGGGCCGTATTAGGGGGCTCTTGGCCCGTCCTCTTGGGCCATTTTGGGAGCCTCTTGAGCATCTTGAAGCATCTTGGGCCGTCTTAGTCTCATCTTGGCTGTCTCGGGAGCCGTCTTGAAAGCTATCTTGGCATTTTGGATGCCGAAAGAGCGCCGGAGAGCAAATTCAGAGAGGGGGGGCTCTCAGAGGGGCGTTTGCGGATACGTGTGGGGGCGGCCCTAGAAAGATTGAAAGAAATTCCTAAACAACGAATCGAGCATTCTAATACGCCCTCTCCGCGCAGGCACGATGGCGGACCACTGCGCCCCATACGATGTTTCGAGCACGAGGAGCTAAGCCCTTCATTGTGCGCTGTACTTATACACGAAGCACGTGTGCATTTTTCAATATTGCAGACGCCTACGGCCACTCGCCCCCACCCCCTGACTTTTGGAAGTGCCCATGCGGCCAAAAGTTGGGCCGAGGTCTGTCCATGCGATTGGACTATGGAAGAGAAATGAGGAGGAGTGGGAGGAGAAAGAGGAAGATGATGAGGAGGAGGAGGAGGAGGAGGAGCAAGAAGAGGAGGCCTCTTCTTGAGGCCCTCGGGGCCTCCCGGGGGCTTCCTGGGAGCCTCTTGGGGCCTCTGAGCGGCCTCTTGGGGGCCTTCTGCCCTCCTTTGAGCGCTTTACGGCCGTCCTCGAGGTCTGTGGGGCCGCCTTGTGGGCATCTTGGGCCGTCTCTGCGCCCTGTTGGGCCCGTCTTTCGGGCCTATCGGCGGCCTCCTGGGCCGTCTTGGAGCGACCTCGGAAGCTGATGGGGGCCGTCCTGGAGCGTCAGAGGCCCCAGATGGCGAGAACGCCAAAAGTCATGGAGAAACCTGCGGGATGTCGATGAGATGCTGGCCTCCTGGAGGTCCTGTCGGAGCCCTCTCGGGGCGTCGTGGGGGACTCATCGTTGCCGTCTGGGAGCCACTTGGGCTGATTGGGAGCCGTCTTGGAAGCGTTTTGGGACCGTCTCGGAGGCTGGCTTGCACCGTCTTGGCCGCCTTGGTAGCCATCTTAAGCCATTTGGCCCGTCTTGGAGGCGATTTGGGCAATGAGACTCTTGTTTTCCGGGTGACCAGCGGTCTGGGCCAGAGGGTTTGGGGGAATGTCGAAAAAGGTCTAAACAGTGAAACATTAAGCACGCCAGGCACCCCTGTTTGATAAATCACCAGGGGGCGGCTGATCGAAGACGCCTACGGCGAAACACCGCCGCCCGTTGCTTTTGGGAAACGCCCATGCGACCAAACGGTGAGCCGAAGTCTGGCCAAGCTATGTTTTGGACTCTGTGTTCACCCAGTCGATGTGGAACCTCTTGGGGGAACACTTGAAAAGAGAATCGAAGGAGTAGAAGAGGAAAAAGAAAGAGGACGACGAGGACGAGGAGGAGGAGGAGGAGGAAAAAGAGGAGGCCTCTTGAGGCCCTCTTGGGGCTGGAAGCCTATTGGGGGCCTCTTAGAGCCTCTTGGGGCCGCTAAGGGACCTCTTGGCTTTTGGGCCCTCTTTGTGCAGTCGAGGGTCCTTCTTCGGGCGCTATGGGGCCGTCTTGGGGGCATCTTGAGCCTTCTTTGGGCCCACTTGGGCCGTCTTGTGGGCCTCTTGCCTTGTGGGCCGTCTCAAAGCGATTTTGGAGACCTGTTGGGCCGTCTCGGAGCGTCGGAAGCCCGAAAAGGCGAGAACGCCACCAAGATGTCTGAAAAGCCGTTTGGGCTTCCTGGAGATCCTCTTGGAGCCCTCTTGGGGCGTCTTGGGGGACTCGCTTGGGCCGTCTGGAGGCCATTCTGGCAGTCTTGGAGGTGTCTTGGGACAGTCTTGGAGGCATCTTGGAGGCCATTTTGGCCGAGGTCTCTTAGAGGCCATCGTGGCCGTCTTGGATGCCATCTTGGCCGTCTTGGAGGCGTCAGGAGCCGTGTCTCCCGCCTTTGAGACGCCGTTCCTGGTGGCCGGCGCGATCGACCGATACCCCATTGGAATTCTTGAGAGACCCAAAATCAGTCATAAGAGTGCACTTTTCTTGACCCCACTGGGAACAGGACCAGAACCTCAAGTTTGGCACGCCGCGCACCCCTGTGACAAGCACAGGGGGCGACGGATCTACTGGCTTTCGGCCCATCCCGACACAGTGCCTGGGTTGTGGACCAGAGGCTTCTTGGACGCTTCTTGGGGTATCCTTGGACGCCTCTCGGGAGCTTCAGGGAGGCCTCGTGAGGCTTTTTCAGGCAGGTGCGAAAGTTATGTTCGATTGTGATGTCCATTCCACAGCCCACGTGGCGCTACTTCACATGGAACTGCATGACTTCGCGAGGCGGTCACTCTGGCAGCGGTCAAGGTCCCGCAGCCTCCATGGCAACTCGCGGCATAAGCCCTCAATGTCGTAGGCGCCACTCGCTGGAAAAGCCTCCGGCCCGCCCGCCCTGCTTAGGTCACGCCCGCATAGCCCAAGGGGACGCCCTCAATTCAGTGGCTCCGCGCGGCCACCGCCGCAATTTCACTCTTTCTAGCGGGTTCCTCAGGGAAGACTCCGTTTTGGCAATCTGGGTCATTTGGGTCATCTTTCCATTTGGGTAACTTCGGTCCTGTGAGCCAGCCCGGTAAGGGATACGCCTGGCAAACGCTTTGTTTATCTTAAAGAGATTCCCCATGGGGCGCACCCAGCCCATATGCAGCAAGGGTCAACAGCAGCAGGAGCTTCCCCAAAAGGCAAGCTGCGTGGTGCAAGCTGCACAGCGCAATCTACATGGTGCACAGAACATGGCAAGTTCTGCATCAGCAGCATACTTGGTCTACCCGTTGCGGTGCAATGCGCTACATGGAGCGCAAGCCATGGGACAGAGGAGGGAGGAGGGATTTGAAATCTAGTTCGGGCGCGTTCAGAACTGCATTCCGTTGGGCCCCAGGACCACAATGTCGACGGTTTTGCAGATGGCAGCCCCCGAAGGGGAGCGAGAGTAATCATTTGGATCTGTGTAACGCCCCACTCCGCCGGACCTCCCTGGAGCTGAAGAAGGCAGCCACGGACGCGCAACCCTCGGGGCGTCGCTCCGCTGGACCTCCCCAGAGCTCACGAGAGTGGCAGCAGTGCCGCAGCTGGCAGCTCCGCAGCCATTGGAAACCCGAGAGCACGCGCCACCGCTCAGAGGCCTCCACCGACCCGCGCTTGCTTGCGCGCGCTGCCGGCGGCGGCCGCCGAGCCCACGGCTCCAGGCGCCATGGCCTCCAAGCAGGCCTCCGCCGCCTTCGTTGGCCTGGTGCAGGCCACGGCTGGCGCCATGGGCGGCGTAGCCGCGGCCGCCGCCCTCATGCCGCTGGAGGTGGCCAAGACCCGCATCGCGATCGGCCAGGCCGAGAGCAGCTCCATAGTGGCAGCCATCAGGGAGATCCTGGATTCCGCTGGCGCGCTGGGCCTCTTCGCCGGCGTGGGGCCGAAGTGCGTCGAGACGGGCACGAGGAATTTCATCTATTTCTACATCTACGAGTCGCTGAGCATGATCGTGAAGAGCAAGCTTGGCAAGCAGGGCACCAGGGGGAAGCTCCTCCTGGGCTACTTCGCCGGCGTCGGCACCATCATCTCGACAATGCCTCTCGAGGTGCTCTCCACCCAGATGCAGAGCGAGGAGGCCGCGGGCCTGAGCGCCCTCACAGTGACCCGTAAGCTGCTCGGTAAGGAAGGCATCGCGGGGCTTTTCCGCGGATTCTGGTTCAATATCCTCTTGTGCGTCAACCCTGCGATTCAGAACACCTGCTTCGACTACATGAAGGCTGTGGTGCTGATGCTCCGAAGGAGTCGGGGGTCCGAAGGTGGGGCCTTGCAAGCATGAGGCGCCAAGGGCAGCAAAGGGCCTCGAGGCTGAACACCTGCTCTGCTCAGGGCCTCCTTGTCCCAGGGCCCCATGCCTCAGGGCCCCTCCCTAATATGCCGAAGGAGTCGAAGAAGAAAAAGCGGCATAAACGTGAATTGTCGGGGGTCCGCGCAGATTTCCTGGATCGGCGTTGGACACCCCTCCATGGCGCGAGGAGCGCGCCAAGGGCGGCGCCGGAGGCGCCGCCAGGGGGGCCTGCGCCGATCCAGGCAATCCGCGCGGAGCTCCGAAGGTTTGTGTTTACGCAGGTTCTTGTTCTCCTAAGGAGGGCGAACCCGAACAGGCGGGCAGTGCTGACGGCCTTGCAGGCGTTCTTGCTCGGCGCCGTCGCCAAGGCCCTGGCCACGGTCATCACCTTCCCGCTCGTGCGGGTCAAGACGCTGCTGCAGTGCGCGCCCGCCGACGACGCGCCCGCGGCGCGGGCCGCTGGCGACGACCACCCGGCCACCGCGCCTGTGGCGCTGCCGAAGAAGCAGGACCGGAGGATGCTAAGTCTGTACGAAGTAAGTCCGCACGGAGGTCTCGGCCTCCGTCTGGGCTTACTCCATCTGGACTTAGTCTCTACTGATAGGAGCAGGAGCGCGGCCGCGACGTCCTGGCGAGGAGATTCTCCCAGCTGTACCGGGGCCTCAACTCCGCCCTCTGGAAGAGCGTGCTGCAGGCAGCACTGCTGTACATGACGAAGGACCAGGTGGAGACGGTCGTGGTCAGGGTGTTCAAAATCTGTGCAAAGACAATGCGTCGGATGGATGGCACCCTCAAGCTGGGCGCCACCTCCGGCCGGCCGCTGCCGGTCTCCTGATTCAGGGGCATAGAAGGGGGGATTGTTCCAGGGGGAGAGGCATCGACCCCCAATCGCCCACTCATCGCCAATCTGGGCCTTGACCCACTTTCCCGCCGAGGAACGTGTGGCTCAGCTGTCGAGGGCCCATCGCCGGTCCATCGGCGATGCATCGCCGATTCCAAGTCAATGTTTCCCCCCATTGAGCCAGTCCCCCCTCATCCCCAGACGTCCGACGGTGTGACTCTGTCAGGGCTCGGCCTCAGACCTCCCGACCCCTTACCCGGGCGTAGCTTCTCGTCCCAGATCCCTCTTCTGATGGCACCGAGGGCCGAAAACGCGCCCCCCGAAAGCAGAGATCGTGGAAAAGACGCTGGCCAAAAGCTCGAAGAACAAGAAACAGCATAAACATAATGTCTCGGAGGTCTGCGCGGATTCCTTGGATCGGCGCTCGGCCCCCCCTGGCGTCGCCTCCAGAGCCGCCCCTGGCGCGCTCCGCGCGCCAGGAAGGGGGGCCCACCGCAGGTCCAAGAAATCCGCGCGGACCGTCGAAAAGATTTGTTTATGACGTCTCTTCTTCCTCTCAAAACTCGGATCGTCGGAGGTCTGGGCTCATCGTTCCCGGGGCGCGTGCCGCTTTGCCTCGTGGGATCTCGCGCCGCGGCCGCCGTTGGCCGCGGGGCCCCCGCCGTGCGAGCCCGGTGGAGCCGTCGGGGGGCCGCCCCGGTTGGTGAAGTCTGTGATTCCTCGGCCTCCCAGGTGGGGTCGGAGCAGATGTCGCTGCGCCGTTTGTTCCGACGCGCAGCCTTGTATCTTGGGGGGGGCGCCGCGGGCACAAGGGCAAACGTCGCCTCGGGCGCGGTGGGCTTGCCGTGGGGTTTGCCGCGGTGCCGGCTGCGTCTGCTTGGGCGCGGGGCGCAGGGTTTGCCGTGGGTTTGCCGTGCGACGGATGGGGTTGGAGGATCGCGCCGCATTGCCGATGTATCGGCGAAGCGGCTCGATGTAGAGACCGATTTTCTCCACGATGGTGTCGCCGATGTACCGCTGGCGTCGCCGATGCATCGGCGGTGCATCAGCGATGCGGCGCGATCTTCCGACCCCATCTGCTCGGACCCCATCTGGGAGGCCTCTGGTGATGCGATTCTTGGGTGTTGGGGAAGATCAGGCGGGCGTGCGCCAGTCGGAGGATCAGGGGCGGGGCAACGCGGTAGGAGGGGCTAACCTTGAGAAGCAAGTATCGACCCCCCTTTTTCCTGCGGAGCTATATCGCTTCTAGCCCCCATGGAAGTGCCATCCCGCCCCAGGACCCCTCAGTGCGGGATCGCACCAAGTTTGCTCTACTCCTCTTATTCCCACCGCCCCCCCCGCGGAATTATAGATTAGCTTGTCGGGGTGCTAAACGAAATTCATTAGTTCGAGTGCCAGTAATAACACCGTGGGGGTCCATAATTGCATCCCAAGGTTAGGCTGAGGGGGCGACGCATCGACTCCCACTCGCTGATAGGGACCCAATGAGCCAGCCCCACCTTGGAACGCACTGTTCCACTATCGGGGGCCAATCGCTGATCTATTGGCGATGTGTTGCCGATTCCAGGTCGATGCTTCCCATCCTGAGCCGGTCCGCCTCTCCCGTTCCCCCTTCCAAGGAGGGCCAATCGAGAGAACGGCAGCCCCGCCCTGGCGGTTTTCTGCCCAGGTCGGGCCTGCCGTAGAGGCTTCTCGTCGCCACGGCTGGGTCCGCCTGGTGAGCCTGGTGAAGGTGGACCCCGTGAGGGGCCCTCGGGGCCGATGGTGTGCGGGCGTGGGCCGGGCGGGAGAGCCGCCGTTGCCTCCAGTGGCCTTCCTCCTGGCATCGCTCGGGCGTGTGCATTTTTTCCCCGGCGAGGGCCATCGAGGAGCATCCTGGATCATCGAGCCACAAAAGCACGCACGAAATCGAAAAATGCACGGGGAATGGACGTCCGAGCGATGGCAAGCCCTCCGAAGCGAGGAGGACCAGGTGAGCGACGGAAGAGGGAGAGCGGGGTCGTCTGCGCGGACACCGGCGCGTGCGCGTGCCGCGTAAACGGTCGCACGTGAGCGCCTGCGTCTCCGCACGGTGTGCGACGCGCTGGCGGTCCGCGTGAGCCGCGGCGTGAAGTCACGGTGTCTTCTCCTTGGCATCGCTCGGACGTGTGCATGTTTCCTTCGGCGAGGACCATCGAGGAGCATCCTTGATCATTTGGGGAAAAAACCACGCACGAAACCGAAAAAAACACAGGGAATGGACGTACGAGCGATGGCCAGTCTCGCGCAAGACCCGTTTCGTGTCGTGGCTCAGTTGGCCCTCCCCCGGATGGAGGAGGATCGGACGGGTGCGCGCCAGGAGAGTCTCCAATCATCCAGGTGGAACGTCAGCCGTCTGCCCACAAGCGGCAGATGACCGGGGGCACGTACAGGGGGGGGGGCTAATCCCGAGGCGGGTTTGGAGAACGAGCCCGGGTGGATACCCACACTTCCTTCTTCCCCCTTCCAGGGGCCACGCAGAGCGATGTTCCTCTCTGACCCCAACTCTGCCCCATGCAGTCGGCGCATCAAATAAGAAATCAGCCTACGAGCAGGTGCCCCATGGAAACGCCTTATCCCCAGGTGGCCCTGGGAGGGCCCACGGAAGCCCCCAGGCCACCTCGGGGAGCTCCAAGCTCGACGACGAACGTGCCCTCATATTGCAATGGCCTCCGGCCAATGCCGCCGATCCGGGGGGGGGGGCTGGATGCTTGTGCGACAGGAATGTGCAGGCGGCAGCGGGCTCCTCCTCTCTCGCCCTTCTTTCTTACCCCGCCCCCGTTCTCCCTCTTCTTTCCCCCACCCCATTCCCTCTCCCATCCCGTAAACGGCGCATGCTCCCCCCTCCCTCTCCGCTCCAACACGGCCCTCCGTTGGAGGGCTCACGGGGGCTTTCTGAAGGCAGTTTTGATTGGGCGCCGTTTGGGGGCCTCTTGGGGCGTCTTGGGGGCCTCATAGGGGGTCTCTTCGGGGCTCTGGGGGGCCTTTCGGAACCTCGTGGGGATATATTGAGCGGAAGGCAGGAATTATCGGTTCGGGCTTCCCTTCATTGGGCGGTTTCGGTGCTCTCTTGGGGCGTCGTGAGGCGGTGTTCGGGGGTCTCTGGGACCGTCTTGGGAGCTTTTTGGAGCGTCTTGGACGTCGTGAAGGCCGAGAAGTCGGACATGCTAGCAATGTAGGCTTCCCCCCGCAGAGCTGAAGCTCAGGCCCTATGCTGCAGCTTAATTGTTTTGAACGTCACACACCGCATCGGCGGATTTCTGTCAGCAAGATGAATTATCTGATGTGCCGAATGCACCCCACCTTTACGTCACCCCGAGACGGTCTCAAGAGAGCTCCTAGAGGAGCTGTTCCCCCAGGGCCGCGGGCGTGCGTGGGCCCTCGCGCGACGTGCTTAGGCCGCCGCGGGGGTTGGGCACGCCGCAGCCGCGACGCTGAAGACGCAGTGACTGCCCGCAGCCGCGAGAGAAAAAACAGCATTGCGCAGCCAGCAGGCCCATGGGAGTCGAAGTCTGGTTTCTCACCATGAGGCGAACGGGTCCTGAGGGAAACGGGATCTGCGTACTTTCGTCGTTTTGGCTTCCCTGGGCCCTCCACGGGCCCCGAGACTGTTTGAAAACGACTCACGATGAAAATTTGGTCCCAGGGAAAGGCCCCAGGGTCGAGGACCCGTTTCCCTCGGGACCCGTTTGTTTCATACCACGTGCTGGTATTCGTTAATCAGAGGAGCGAGAAGCAATGACAATGATTTCTTCCCAGATGTTCAAGCTTTCTCTGTATCCCGCGCGGCCAGAGACGAGTGGCTGAACACGAATTGCCGGGTCTGCTCGAAATTCCGAACTCCGCATAACTACCCAATCGTGTCATGCCAGTATGCTCGTCTATTCAGGGCGTCGCTCCGCCGTACCTCTCCCAGGAGCTCACAACAGTGCCGCTGTACCTCTCAGGAGTTCTCGTCGCTCCATTCGGCTGGACCCCCCAGGATTTCGCGCAAGTGTCGACCGTTGCGTAGCCTTCAGGGCGTCGGTCCGCGGGAGATAGGAGCTCACGAAAGTGACAACCGTTGCGCATATAGAAACCCCCAGGGAGTCGCGATCTAGTTGGGATGCCTTTAGTGCGTCGCGCCGCTGGACCTCCCGGGAGCTCAAGAAGTGGCAGCCGTTGCGCAGTTGGCAGCCCCCAGGTAAGCGAGGTCTAGTTTGGATGCGTTCAGGGCGTCGCTCCATTGGAGCCCCTGGGAGGCGAGGTCTGCTGTGGATGCCTTTTTATGGCGTCGCTCCGCTGCAGCTCCCAGGAGCTCACGAAAGTAGCGACAGTTGCGAAGAGAGGGTGGAGGAGGAGGTCGAGGAGGAGGAGGAGGTGGACGAGGAGGTCGAGAAGGATGAGGAGGAGGAGGAGGAAGAGGAGGAGGAGGCTTAGGAACTCCTCATCCTCCGCACTGTTTCCCTCCCTTGTCGTCGTCGTCGCCGCCCTCATCTGTGCCGTTGAGGGCGAGTGGGATTCGTCCCGACCGCCTCCCGAGCCCGTTGTGTTCCTCGTGACACGTCCAGCTCCAGCGCAAGTTCGAAGGGCTTTGTGTGCTGCCCTCTCTATGTGTTCCACCTGTGTGAGGTCGCATCTCATGACTCGTTGACCTTCATCTGCCGTGCCGTCGCGAGGAGGGGGAGCAGGAGGGAGGATGAGGAAATGGATAGAGGAGGAGGAGGAGGAAGAAGAAGGAGGACGAAGGAGGAAGAAGGAGGAGGAAGGAGGAAAGAGGAGGACGAGGTAGGAGGAAGTAGGAAGGAGGAGGAGGAAGTAGGAGAGAGGAGGAGGAGGAGGAGGAGGAGGAGGAGGAGGAGGAGGAGGAGGAGGGCCTCCCTCCTGCTGGGCCGCGCGGCCGGGCGCCAGGCGCGCACGCAGCCAGTCCCCAGAGATCCGCAGGATGTCCGCCGGCAGGGGCTCCGTCGGCGCGGACGCCTGGCCCCAGCTCTTCC